AAAAAAATTTCCAATATTTTATTTAATAAAGAGATAACAAATTGTTGAATAGAAGTTTATTATTTGAAATTAATCAATAAATGCTATAATTATATTCCTAGCACTTTTGCATTACAATCTTTTCCATCTTTTCTTTAATTTTGTTTAATCCTTAAAAAAGACAAGACAAAACCGTTTGAAGAATTACAAATGCTACATCATATTCTTGCCATCTCAATCTTTAAAAAAAAAAAAAAAAACAGGAAAACATTCAAACCTGTATCATTCCATGTCCAAATCGGAAAGCACATCCGGTAAATTCGTTACTGATCGTTGCATCCACATTTTTATCATAACCTTTGTAATCACCAATTAATTCATTAAATTTACTGCCTAATATACGAGGTAAATATTCCTACAAATTACGCAATAATTTATTCAACTTTACGACTTAACCATTTACTTGATATCAGAAAAATTTTCAATTCTATTCTTTTATCATTATTGTTTGCTCATTTTAATGAATAAATAAATATGACAAATCGTGATAATAATAATAATAAATAACAATATTGATAATAATAATAATAATGATAATAGCAATGATAAGATATGGGTAATAATTGTATTGATACTGTAACCTTGTATGTAATATGTTGTATGGCAGCACCAATAATTCGTCGTGTTTCTTGAAAAATTCGATCCTGATCCCAATTTATATTTAATTCTTTTAATACTGATGCTATCCTCAAATATCCACAAAGTATTAGCAATGTTTCCTCTTTCTTTTGCTCCCCCTTTCTCTCTCTCTTTCTCATCTGATTATTAGAAATAATTAATTAATTGCAGCCAAACATATTCTAAGGTCACTTTTAAGGTTATATCCATATCAAAGCGTAATTTATTTGATCAACTACGTTTGAAATTTGGAATTTTCATAATAATAATTCTTTTAGAATTTCGAAATTGAATATCTTTTATGTTATTATGAAATATAAGCATTCAATGTTCGTCACTAAGATTACTCTGAACAAAAAAAAAAAAATCATAAAGGTCAATGAAAGGACACCTATTATGTTCCCGAACAAAAAGTACATGAAGAGCAGCTAAACCGACAAATAGATTAGCTCGATCATCACCAGCAATGATATTTTGATTGCTATCAATTACTGGAAAAGTACGATTTCGAATCATTTGTGTCCTCATGAAACTTCCTTGTCGGAACATGAATTGATCCAAATCGGATGAACCGTAAATCTAATAAACAATGCGTATATTTAATATTTAAATAGTATTGCTTAAAAATTTCTATTCATTATTGCTAAAAAAAAAAAATAGTAAAGAATTTGAATTTTACCATTGAACCATCGATATATGCCGAATTTTCGTTGTGTTGTTCACGGGGCGATGATTTACCGGAACCACAAAGCGGGGTTGACCGAGCTATCGGTAAACATTGAAAACGACCAAATCTTAAAATTTTTTATTTCAATGAAATAATCTCTACTTTTGCTTTTCATACCATGAAGTAATACTAAAACATGTCACAAAGGTTAAAGTAAATAAATTTATTCATTTCAAAAACTTCACTTTTCTATTTGATAATATTAAAATATT